CGACACTACAACAAGCTTCTTTACAAGAGGTATGTAATTCGTACTCAACATAATCTGCAATGCCACCCCAAGGGATTCTGGTCGTTTGTGAATACGAAGAGGAAGGAAACTGGGCTGCCGTCAAAAATGTTTCTCGGCAACGACGTAGCATTGACAACTGAGGACAAATGCAGCCTATTTGCTAGGCACTTCTTAAGCGTCTTCTCGAATGACTCCCCATCGCAAGCAGAAATTGAGCGAGCCGTCCGTGATGTGCCAACCGACGTCGTAAACATGGATGTTTTTGCCGTAGATGTACAAATGGTGCTCTCTGTGATGAGTAAAACCAAATCATCATTTTCAACAGATCCGAGTGTTATTCCATCTGCTGTCCTAAAAAAATGCTCCGATATCTTAGCTGCTCCGTTGTCCTTGCTCTTCAACCTGTCACTTCGTCAACATAAATTTCCCGCACTATGGAAACGCTCTACTATGTTCCCTGTTTTCAAGATAGGAGACAAACGCAATGTGGAAAACTACCGTGGGATTACCTCGCTTGGGGTTGAATCTAAGTTGTTTGAGTCGCTGATAAATGAGAAGTTTTTTGCTTCCTGCAAGCATTACATAAGCACTTACATGTCAACATGGCCGCTCCGTGGAAACTAATTTCGACAGCTTTAAGACGTTCTGCATGGAAAATGTATGCAAGAAACTTCAAGTGGATGCCATCTACACTGATCTTAAAGCTGCGTTTGATAGAGTTGTGCACGACGTTCTGCTATCAAAGTTTGAAAAAATTGGATGTTCTGTTTCCTTCTGCAGCTGGCTTAGATCGTACCTCGTGCAACGTGAAGTTACTGTATGCATTGGAAACTACTCATCGTACTGTTTCTCGAACAGATCAGGAGTTCCACAGGGTAGCACTTTTAGACCACTGCTCTTCTGTTTATTTGTGAACGATGTAACGTTTATTCTACTACGTGAAGGTAAATTGTCATGTTGGATGAAACGCTCACATACACTCGCCACTTCTCAACCACGATCGACAAAGGTAATCGTCAGCTTGGATTCATGTTCAAGATATCTAAGGAACTTCGTGATCCTCTTTTAAAGCCCTTTACTGTTCATTGGTACGCTCAGGGAGAGAGGTAGCTCATCGATTCTTCCGGTTCGCCTCCTAGCATCGTGCTATAAGGTACCAGGCGATAACCAGGGTAGTTGATCGATAGCTCGATGACGTCATTTCGTTGGCGTCTGCAATGGGGAATTCTCATAGCAGGCGTTGACGATGGGACGTAGTCGAGTTGTTGAATAACAACTATCGTGGTAACTCACCGATTACCTGTCGATCTACCAAATTTGGAAAGACATCTGCATTGAATTGTCTCATATAATAATATTCCGCCCACTATATCACAAGAAATTTCGAGTAGCTGAGTGGAATGGAGATAAGTTAAGCATTGGGTACAGGACCAAGTCTCCCCTGGGTGGTGCCAAAAGATGAGCGCAATAGAATCATCAAGTTGCCATAAGTCTTCCATTCGTTAGTCATTTCAGGTGGATTAGAACAGGTTTAGGTTTAGGGTGGGCGTTGGCCAGATTTGGATTTTTCAGATGTAATCCTGGATAGGACCCTGTCATTGAACGTCGCGTGAAAGTGGAACTTAATGAAGGCCTAAGTACTTTTTCGTAGTTTTTAGTTTTCGGATTTGAAAGATCGTCGTCGTCGTCATCCACATTCAAGATTCGTCAATCGTTTTATTTGTTAATATGACTACATGGTAATAACAGCAACTCGGTGATTAAAAAGGTGCTCGTCTGCCTAGTGGCAAACGTTTTTGCTTACTGAGCAGAAGACCGTGGGTTTAGTCCCAAGCTCCTTCGCGTTATATGATCGTTAGGACATCAATTCAGCTTATCGTTTACCAAAACGAACCCTGCTGCAAACCCAACCCTCTTATCCAACATCCCAGTGATTCCTCGTGGAAGTGCAGAGGTGTTCTCGGCTTCCATCAAAGCGATTGTCATGTCAACACAATCCTTCCCATTCCTTTCTTGACCTGTGTTCGGGCGCGGCCGGCGCTGGTATTGCCTAATTTAAGATCACCAGTTTTTACACATTGAGGATGATTGCTAGTCCCAAGCATCGTCTATTGGTTCTCTGTGTAATTACAGCTGATCTGGCAGTAACAGAGTAGCAACCGATGGCGGTCAATCAAGCTCAAGCTCAATCTTTACTGTTCATTGGTACGCTCACTACTGGAATTCACGTGTGTTGTCTGGAATCCCTACCAAGCAGTATGGAGTGGACGATTCGAAGCTGTTCAACGCAAATTCGGTGAGATACGCACTGCGCTATCTTCCATGGAGTGACCCACTGAATTTACCACCGTATACTGACCGCTGTCGTTTACTAGGTTTGGATACTCTTGCTAGGCGACGAAACATATCGCAGGTCGTCTTCGTTGCTAGAGTTTTGCTCGCAGAATATGATGTTCCTGAGTTACTGGCCAAAATTAATCTGTATGCTCCTGCCCGAACACTCCGTCCGTGAACCTTGCTACATGAAGTAGTAAATGCAACCAACTATGCTGCAAACAGTTCCTTTCTCGCCATGATTCATCAATTCAACGAAGCCGCTGACCTATTTGACTTTGACATCAATGCCTCCAGGTTTCGTGATCGTTTGCTGTCGGCCAATTTTTAATTTTTGATGAGTTACTACATTTAGATTTAAGTGTTTCATTGAGACTATCAAGTCAGATGGACTATAATAATAATATAATACAAAAATTGTGGAATTCATTGCAAGCTTTCCGTACCGGATTATTTTGCTGTCATCAGTTTTGTTATTCATTTGCCTCTCAATTTTTTACCGGTTCAAACCAAACACCCTGCAAATAATCGAGAAATGAATCCTACCGGATTTACACGGAAATTCCCTGGGGTCTGTCCAATGTGAGACATTTTCATGTTTTTTTTTTTTCAATATGAACATAGCATTCTTTGTTATCAAATCATAAACGAATCGTATATATGCGAGTAATTGCCATGTATACCGGATATTCTAGGTTCTCTAAATCGTCCTGGAGTTCAGTTGATTTGTTCTACTAAATCAACCAAGATTGCAATAATGTCTGTAGTATCGAAATATGTCCAAATATATGTAGTAGAACAAATCAACTGATGTCCTGGACGATTTGGAAAACCTATAATTTCCGGTATACATAGAAATAAGTCGGGCATGATCCGCAAAGTCACATATAAACGATTCGGTTATGATTTGACAACGGAAAGATTCATATTAGAGATTTAAAAAAATATCATGAAAATATCTCACCATTGGACAGACCCCAAGGAATTTCCGTGTAAATACAGAAACGCGACGTGACCAACAAGTGTGACTTATAAAACTCAGGTAATTTCTCGATTATGTGCAGGGTGTTTGGTTTGAATCGGTCAAAAATTGAGAAACTAGAGCCAAATTAACTACAACATTTAGGAGAGCAAAATACGTCAGAATCGCAAAGGTTAACTTTCAAGAAAATTTGCATTTCAAATGAAAATGTATTAATTTTTTTTAAATAATGTGTAATCAAATCTAGACCGGTATTATTCAATAGAATCTCATAATGTAAGGGTGTTTTATTATGTTCACTAATTACTCAGAATTTATACTATACATAAATAACTGAAGATGAAACATTGTTATTTTTTAATTTTGTTTTTCAAAGATTATAAACGATACTCCTTTAGCTCAGTCGGTAAAGGCGCAGCTACAAAGCAAGTCCATGCTGGAGGCGACTGAGTTCATTCCCGTCCGGTCTTTTAATTTTTCGGGTTGGAAAAATTCTCTACTTACAGGCATAGAAAGCACTCAATTAAAATGTTTGAAGTACCTTCACAGAACACTAAATTGAGAGCAGGTAGGGGCTGTCCATTAACTACGTAGACATTTTTTTTTGGGATTCTTAACCCCCTCTATACAAAAATTTTAAAATTTGTATTGACTGTGGATAATTACCACCCCCAACTGTTTACATAGTTTATGGACAGCACCGTAAAATCTAATATGTTATAAGCAATTAGCTTGAAATGCCATGGAGTAGTATACAAATGTTGCGAATTAGTATTTGAAGTCGCGGATTTCTTTCAATAAATCGCTGATTTCGCGGATCAAATTTAGAAAATCTTGTAACAGCCCTGCATTTGCTTGGAAATAGAGCTACATACTAGCCCAAAAAAGCATCCAGCTAAGTAGACATACAAACATGTTGTTATTGAAAGTGTATGTCCGTTTTATAAAGTGAACAGTCCTTATTGAAATTCCTGAAGAAATGCTGGATAATATGAAATTCAAGGTCTGGTCATTATTTAATTAAATTAGGATCCTGATTATCGTAGTCAATTTGTGCATTATTTAAGATTGTTTCATTTGGTCGATGTTCTGAAATTTCATTGCAAGTTTTAAAAATTACCTGGGTCTTTTGAAAATCAGTTTTGCTCAATTTCATATTCCCCACATTCTTTCAGCAATAACGCTACATTCCCTTCTATCCTTACAGAAACACACAACTTCCTTAAAAACCCTTCAACCAAATTCGGACCAATTGTCAATGTTACTATACAGCAATTCCATAGAAAAAAAAGTTATAGTGGATCTTAGAATTTCGTGATAATTTGTAATTTTGCTCCTTTCATCAGCATTTTCTCTATTTTTTTAATATCATTACTTGTGAATAACTGAACCGATTTTTTGGATCAAAATGTCCAATGAAAGATCTAGTAAATTAAATCTAGTTTTTTTTTTTTTTTAATATGAATATGGGCTTTAATCGTAGTTTTACATTGAAAAACGTTGATTATAATCGATTTTCATGATTTTCATTTCTCTAACTTTTTTCTATGCAATTGCTGTATAACTATCGATACACGTTTCCACCTTCGCAGCCATCTCTCGCACCCCGCACTAGTTGTTTTGTAACGTTGGTCGTATTTTTTTTCATTATCCCCTTTTGCAGTAGAGAAAACCACTGCGAGATCGAACGGCGGAGGCGGAACAAAATGACCGCCTACATCACGGAACTGTCGGACATGGTGCCCACGTGCAGTGCCCTGGCGCGGAAGCCGGACAAACTGACGATCCTGCGGATGGCGGTGGCGCACATGAAGGCGTTAAGAGGTAAGCTCTAGTGCTAGAATTCGCTTATTTTTTTTTCAAATCACACGTCGAGTCATAAACCAGAAAGTGAGACAAATTTTTAACGACTTTGACAACAGCAGGACGTTTCCGTTCACTCGTCCGAGGAATTATGATAATCTGGTTAAAGTTTGTTTATGTGTTCTTATTGCACCGCCCGCCTGGCGGCCGTCGGTCGACGGGGCCAGGGCTGAGGAAAAAGCCATTTCTCCGGAAAATGAGAAAATAAAACTTTTGTGTTTGCTGCTTTCCAATCCTCAGTCTGTGTGTCTCTCTCCGTCTCTAGCGCAGTATTCAAAGAGTGGATAATTTAACGAGGGAAATAAAAATGTGGAGATGTTTTGCAGCAAGACGACCGGCGTTGGAGACGGTGTGAGAGGTCATAAAAGTAGGCAAGTTTGATGATAGAATTTCTAATCCACACCGCACAGCTAATCTGTGTGCAGATTTTGGGCAGTAAAATGAAATATGTGCTTAATCTAGTATGGCTTTACGTATGGCGCTTGTTTTAGAGCATGTTTTGTAATATGATACTTTTGAGGAATTTTAACAATTCCATAGTCATGTCATGCTTGTATAGCATAAAAGGAAATACTTGTAAAACTGTCAGCTACCAATTCTATTTTGTTCGTAATTAAACATCATTGAACGCATTGAATTTAGTCACGAATTGGTTTAGGAGATATTCAGTCAAAAGTTTTTGGAATGATACAGCTATGAGGCTTTTGAAAAGTGTTTGATAATTATTATGTGAATTCCAAATGGTTCTCTTTCGGAAGATGGACACCCGAATAAAAATGTACCATACAAAAACATATGACTTTTGCTGGGATTTGCAATATAGTCTCAATTTTTTAACTGAACTGGAATGCCTTGAAGGGTTTCAAGTCAACACCAAACTTATGTCCCAATCAGTGATGAATTTAAACCTAAAAAATCATGAAAAACAGAATAATATCTGTAAGTCTACTGTTGTATACAAATTTAGAAACAAACATAAAAAGCTCATTGTGATGCTGTGTAAAACTCCTATCGCTTACTATCGTTCGGATTACGATTCTGCATTTCCAGTTGCCTGAAATCCGTTTCTGCCCCGTCAGCTTATCAATTCAACCAGCAACTGAACTCTTCTCAATAAGAGACAACGACCCGGTTCGATTCAATCTAAACTACCGAGGCGTACTGCTCCAATTTCTGGTTCTATTTAGAATCCCAATCAGAACATAACATCAATGTTGATGATACGGTGTTGAAAATAACAACCCACAACAACTGGGCTGGCAGAAGCAACAAACACCATCCGTCCCCACACAGAGATGGCTAGTCCGATAGATGTAAGTAGATAGTTGGGACACCCGGCCCGGCGTAGTCCATCCGCCCACGCCACTATAATCTGCTGTAACATGCGATAGGAAATAGCTTTTACATCGATCCACCCGCCACCGCTGCCACCGACCCACCTCGGCACAACGCAGGCAACCCTATCTAATCCTAATAATGGGTGCTCCTGTGGGTGGAATTGAGGCGGCGGCGGTGATAAAGGCCATTCGGGATCAACCATCCATAACAGGTGGTGCGCTCCCGGTTCACCGAGAGAGAAAGGTGGTGATGGTCAACTAAAGAGCTTTATCTCTTTTGTACACCACAGCAGAAGAATGCGTATTCAACAATGCCCGAACGACGAATGCCCGGCTCAGAGATAATCACTGACCACCGACGACGACGACGACGACGACGAAGAACGAAGGAAGCAGCTCAGTTAAGGTTTCTTTCTATCCGGGGGTTCAGGATAATAGTCTTTGCTCGCCAGCAGTTTCCACCCGACTACCACCACCAGCGCCATCCAGGATGAATAGCTTCGGAGTAAAACGGAGACAAAACACATTTTGCTGGCAAGGATCATTTTTCACCTTCTATTTTTGCTGCTCCTTTGGATGGTTCCACCGGCCGTCCACCATGTACCACTACTATCTCTGATTGTTCCTTTCTCCGGCCAAGGTCCAGTTCCATCGCCACCGACACGAGCCGGGGGGAGTGCTTTAATAATGGTTTAATAAAAATGGAAAGAAGGCAATCTACCCAGCTAGAAAAGAGCAGTACCGGATGATTCCAATAAAAAAAAGGACTACAACTATCCTTGTTGCGGAGAGACTGCCTTAAGGGTGGTGCAGATAAGAAGGACTAAACTTTCGGTAGGTGCCGTCGTCGTTTTAGAAGAAAGGAAGTCCCGCTTTGTGTCCAGAGGATGGATGGAAATAAAAATGGCAATAACACTGAAGCTACCCTTAACCAACCTACTCTGTGTGAGCGTATATACTAGTGAGATGTGATTCGTGAAAGTGGCTACGTATGGCGTGGGGCTAAGCTCTGCCTGGGTGAATGTCTTCCAGCAGATACCATAAATCTTGGTGCTGCTTGCTCCACATGACACCTATCGGGTGGATTGAGAAATGTTTTGCTACACTTGCTGGCTCTTGCTGGCGCTTTCTGCAAATGATAATGGATGAAACTGAAGCGTGTTTTTTTTTTGTTTAAGGAGCTGTTCAGAAACTACGTAGAGTTTTTTTTAATTCTAGACCCCTGCATAGACAATTGCTCATACAAAATTAAAAACGAAATGGTCATAGACAATCACCAAACTAATTTGTGCCAAACTAACAAAATGCGTTACATTTTGTGTTAAAAGGGGTTGTTCATAAACTACGTATTCCATTTTTATATACCCTCCCCCTCCGTCTGAGAAGACAATCTTTCATACATGTTTTTAGAAATTTTTGTTGCGGTTGTGGGTTAGTAGACCCAAAATTAGATCTAAACCCTATCAACTGCCTGCAGCTGGATCATATGTCCAGCTAATGCGGAAACAAATCTTGATTGGAAAATTTAACGAAAATCACATATTTTTTTTTTTTGTTTATTCATTTATTTACCATGGCTTAAATTCGGAAGCTTCTCGGAGCTTAAATAAAATCACATAAATGTCATTCAAATTTGAGTGACATTAACACATATATGAGTGATATTTACTTATATTTGAGTAAAAATTTACTCAATCTATGATTTACGCTTTTATGAATTTGAGTGAACGGTACTCAAATATGAGTCAGATATATTTGCCGTGTTATGATATTCTACATTTAAAAGTATTTACTTCAGCATATTTGTAGAGCTATTTCCTATCGCTTGGCGTATTTGGATTTTGATTTCATCTATAAATGACAAAGTTACAAGCGTACAAGCTAACACTATTTTACCACACTTTTTTTTTATTTGCGTCCCAGTATAGTCCACAAATACGAAGTTCTACGTCAAAAATCACTCAGCCTACTATTCATAGACTGATTAAACTTTCTTCAGTTTTCTTCATATCCGAGCAGATTTTTGATGAAAATGTATTCAGTTTACCTTAACGGCCTTGTAGAAAATTCTTATACATCTTAGTAAAAATTAATCTCTCATTGAGTTAGTCTCAGCGGTCGTGTACCTTAAATTCAATTTAAAGGTGGTGTCCGAAAAAGCTAGAAATGTTCGTTTGGACTTGAATTTCTTATGAGAATTTTGAGGATTAGCACTATTTTTTTTTTATAATGCGTTTATTTTTCCAGGCTCATTTGCTGTAGCTTTGCGGAGCCTATATTTATTGATTATATTACAAAATTACTCAAAACTAACGTTAGTAAAGCGGGGGCCGATTATTTGCGGCTATCTCGCGGTTAGGGGTAGCAAATTGTAACAAATGGATGGCAGGGTAGGGATTGTGAACACAAGTTTTGGAGAGCAATGTGCTCTTGATCTCGAACTAAGCGACACTCTGATGATAAAGACAAACATGGGGGTACACCGATGGGCAGCTAACAAATTGGGAGAACACAAGATGACACTAACTACTAAATCCTCAGATCTATCCGTTTTAAAAACACACAAAATAAATTCAAATAGTCGAGATCTCGGCTCGCCAAGACATCTCTAACGGGTATCGAGTATCGGTTGTTTTCCTCGAGCCCTGAGGGATGTGGATAACTCAGATCTGGCAACACGGTGTAAGGTACATGTAAGGTAGAGCAATTCGAAAGAAGTGCACGAGCAGTGGTTGGACATAAGCCTTGATATAACGCGTATAAAGTCGCGGCTCATGTCCAACCCTTTGAACCATGGTTTATTCGACACCTGTGGGAGAATAGAATGTAACCATGTTCCCAATTCACCATTCCATTTTTGTTGCCAACTGATGAGGACTTGCTGACGAGCAATGGAGAAAAATTCGTTGAAGGCGATTTGTCGCTCAAAAATATCGCCTTAGCCAACGAGTCCGCTTTCTCATTACCCGGAATTGAGCAATGAGATGGGACCCAAGCTAAGGTGATAGTATAGGAGCAGTTAGATAAATCACTCAGTTTAGACTGTATTTCAGGCAGGAAATACGAGGAGTGCTTCATCGGTCTCATTGAACGAATAGCCTCCAATGAGCTAAGACTATCCGTAAAAATTAAATAATGGTCAGAAGGTAGTGAGGCAATTCGCTCTACTGCGTAAAATATAGCTGCGAGTTCCGCAACGTATACGGATCATGCTTTCTTCAGTTTATAGGAGGCGCTATGGAATTGATTAAATACACCAAATCCAGTGGAAGCATTTATGGTTGACCCATCTGTGAAAAATCATTTATCGTTACTTGATTGCAAAAAATGAGGGAACAACCATCGACCGATGGTGATCTGGTATTCCTGGATTTCTTGCATCATGGTCAGATCAAAATTTACAGAGAAATCATCGAAGTCTTGAAAGCAAACACGATTGAAGATTAATGAAGAAGGACCAACCTCCAAAGGGTTATATTACCAAAGGATTCATTACTTCACAACGGATGAGAAACCGAAAAAGACAGCTCAGCGAAACGATCTGTCAGTAGGAGAACACCCGCGAGTACTTCGAGGCTCATCGTATGTGTCGAGTGCATAAGCCAAGAATTAACGCTATCTATT